CCTACTCTGTACTGGGTCTTCCTTTCTAGTTATTTACAACTGTTGTGCATTCTTCTCATGTCCGTCTTCATTTCTCTTTTGCCTTTCTCTTTTCCTTTGACCTTGAGGGTTCCAAGTGAGGGCTTGTGCTGTGACACAGTTGTGTGCTTGCCTCATTGTGTGTCCTGTCCACCTCCACCTCTTATCCACCTTTCTGATTTCCTTCTCAGCTGGAGGAATCTAGTTTGTTCTCTCCCACAGTCTGTTGTTTTAATAATGATGTCTGGCCAATGGATCGGAAGTATTTTGTGTAGACAACTGTTAATAAACACTTGTGTCTTTTGGAGGATGGCTTTCGTAGTTCTCCAAGTTCACACCCCATACTGTAGAATTGTGTTGATATTTGTGTTAAAATTGTGACATTGGTGTTGGTCGATAGTTGTTTCGAGTTGGAGATGTTCTTCAGTTATGGAAATGATGTCCTTGCCCTGCTGATCTGCGCCTTTTTTAGTCAATATATCTTTCTTTTACTGTAAACTCTGACTCTTCCAGCAGTGCTCGAATAGAGGACCTGAATAAAGTTAATATAGTTCTTTGGTACTCCATACAATGGCACACACTGCCGTAGAGCTTCACGATAAACAGAGTCAAATGACGCCTTAAGGTCAAAGAGTTTAACTATTTTTGGACATCAAAAAGTGTGTATTTTTTCCAGGGCGTGATGAAGTGTGAATATCTAATCTATACATCCATGTCCAGGTCGGAGACCGGCCTGGTTTATTCTCGTCTGCTCTTCACGAGCTCAACTTAGGAGTCGAAGTATTATTGAACCTAATATTTTAGGCACTATATTAGTTAAACTGACTCCTCTGTGATTATCAAAAGAGAACTTTTGCTTTTTTTATATACAGCGGGACAATCAATGATTTAGACCAGTCAGATGGGAATAAGCTCAGTTTCTAGATTCCACCTAGGATCTCAGTCAATCTATCTACCAAAAGTGAATCACCATCTTAGAAAGAATCTCAACAATTAAGAATAAGTGAAATCACAATCTTTATTTATTTAGTTCTAGTGAATAAAACTCTCTGCTTATATTCGAGTAACTGATTCGAGCTCATGATTAGGAAGCTCATGTTTTGAGTATCAAATTCAAACGATTAAACAACGTGACGAGAAGGCACAATATATGTTTGAAGTTTATTGAAAAAAAACGCAAAGGTTTTCCATTTTTGTTACTTTAATCAAAATTTCATCTAAAAATAAATTCGTAATGATCACTCTAAAGTTTTGAATTTGTTTGTTATAGACCAGTAAAACAAAACAAAACTCATATCATATGTCAAAGTGATTAGGTCATAAATGAATGAAATGAACATTAAGATTTTTCAAGTCAATCACTTTTTCTCAGTTAGCGTTCCATCGAAAATTTCTTAATTAGTTGTTTCTTTTTCTATGAAAAGAACTGAACTGAAGTGACTTAATGGAGTGTTGATTTGCCATTTATTTCAAAAATTAGATTGTAATCATTATTTATGGTACTTTAGTGGAATTTTTAGTAATCTGTTAATGTTTCTGATGATATTGTTTTAAAATTTGCACACAAACAAGTAACAGTGACAATGGATTGTACTCTGTTCAATGTTAGATACACTGGTAGTGATTTTATTTTGACGAGGAAAAACGCGGTTGGTTAAATAGCAATATTATTTATTATAATCAATTATACTAGTGAACGTCTTATCAAATATTTTGTTCATTCGTACTTTCGTACCGCACGTTGTTTACTTAGATGTCGACATCTTACTATTGCTACTCACCCATTTCTTCGCCACGTTTCGGTATTTCTTCAATGCCACGAAATTGCCAGCAAGTACACCCATTTCATTTGCCCCATCTCGTCTTCTTTTTTCAATACGAGACTTGGGATAACTCTTGGGACCAGAACGTAATTGGTTTGTAGATGTGTTGATAGTTTTTCGACTAGAATATCTACATTAATAAGCCCGATATACACACTCACAAGAATACTCTATCACTAGAACTTCGTACGTTCTAACTCCCTTATCATTAGTCAGATCTACTTGAAACCTTGAAACAGATATATTATACCTAAACATTCGAACATTTCGCAATCAGTCGAGGCCTGAAAAATATCCAATTGCTAAGTACTAATCGATAAGGCCTCGATGTTGACGAAGGTCAAATCGAGTTACACTAACTTTAATGTTTTATTCTCATCGTCCAACTGTACTGAGAAAACGTTTTGAACAATGTTAAGACTAGAAGTATGCGTTAACTTACCATCAACAATGAATGTTTGTTTTGAATGAAAATCTACTAGCCAAAGAATGAGAATCTTAAATTATCCCATCAAAGAGATGAAATCTGCTTCAACTTGAGACTGGAGCCGTTTGTTTCGAGCAAATTTTTCATTTCCTGGTACCCTTCATGGTTGTGTGCTAACGCTTCAAGATTTGTTGCCAATGGTTGAACTATATTTATTTCTAATCGAGCCTACAGACCTTTCTCTCGTCCTGTGGTGAACTGTGATATGTGGTCAAGCTGTTGGATCTCTCATAGAGATCAGAGGGACGGGTAGTACGCAATAGTAGCATGTCGTCGAATTTGTCCCTAGCTATTTTTGCATTGTCTGGGGCTAGAATTCTCGGTCTAGAGAGCGCGAGTGCATTTTCGGTTTGAGTGGATGAATAACTCTTATCCTACCATTAGAATGTTGTGGGTAGGATTTGACCAAGTATCGAAATTCCACAAGTATATCCTGAAATTTTGCATTTGTTACTAGTGCAGTGTGCATCCAATGAGGCTTTCTTTATCTTTTTTGTAATATGAAGTTTCTTTCAGTGTCTAACACCGTTTCTTAAAATCGACCAGAAATTTATATCTCTATAATTTGTTCATTCCAAGTATGTTCAGATCTAAATCCACTACAGTGAACTTTCAGCGGAATTATTTTTTAAATCCGTGATCCAATACCAACATTTTCTGCAGAAACATCGAGAGTGAAACTTTGTTGGCAGCCTTAAGTTTAATTGAGGAAATTTATCGACCTAGGTCGGTTTCGTTCAAATTTGGATGGGTTGTCTGATGACCCCCTTTTTTTGTACGATGTATTGTTTGAGCCGCAAAAGAGAAGACCCTCTTTGTTATTAGCGCAAAATGAAGTCTGAGTCTTATGCATCCAAACGATGTTTGGTGTAGCCACGGAGGTCTTGTATCCATCCTCGTCTTAGGACTGTTACGCCAGCTGTTTTGTCTCCAACTAAGATTCTTAGGCGGCGAACGAACTGAGGGCGACCTACAAGCTTGTGTTTCGCTTTAAAAAAGCCTTTGGATTATTTGACCGTTAGATAAGCACGGTCGATTTATTGTTTTGAATGGGTGTATGGTTTTGATGTGAGTATGACTCAATATTAGTTCATGGACTTCTTTGCGAACTGGGAGAGGGAGGACAGATAACAATACTGAACTCCTTCAGACAATGCTTTATTTGAGGAGAGAGCTTTAAGAGCAGACATTTGAAAGTCTCGTTGGGTTCGATAGTGCTGGCACCCGTCGCTAAGTGTCAAGCGCATCAAGGTTGATTTAGGATCTCAGTGGAAATCGGCTATTCTAGGTAGCAAATAGTTCTTTGAGAAAAACACAAAATAAGGAGATACGAATCAACCATTCCTGTTGAGGTAGTTTTCAAAATTATCACTGACGATTTATTAGAGTGCGAGGGGCTAGGGAGGAAACCGGCTGTGATGACAGAACCAACAATTAGGGTGTATTTCAGAGCTGTGAAATACAACAAGTGCACTTGACAAACATACTTCAAGTTATCTGAAACCCTTACAGAGGAGACATTAAGATTTTGTCAAGCCCTATGATGGAATCTTATTCTTTGTGTCGGATGCTTAGGTTATAATGCTTTCACTGTTTTTCACTACCACTTAAACATTATGCTGATGCTGCTCAGGGGAACAAAGAAAGCTCCACAACCAAAACATCTAGCTCAGAACACGAAAATCCACCATGATTATCCACCTGTGTTACAATGTTTTTCTACGATCTCAGTTTCGACAATCAACTAGCTAACATTGAAAGAGGAAAAATTTCGAGTAGCGATCACATCTTTCTTGTGACTTTTTAGTGAGAACGATGACTTATCCAACACATCTCACACTCTTCTACTCTGAAATGCCTCCCGAATCGTTCTATCGGCTAAAATTGTTGTTTCTTTAATCTTCCATCTTGCATTTCATATATTACTGCAAAATATTAGATTCATAATTTTACGTTTCTCAGTTTCCTTTAACTGCATCCTTCTTGCAAAATTAGAACCAAATAAGCTGACAATAAAATCAAAGTTTTAATACGATTTAGTAAGAACAAGTGATAAAGATTTTTACAGCATAGAGAAGTACCTAGTTTGATTTGGTCAAATAAACTTTGGCTGACTTGTCCTCTCAGTTCGGACAGAATGAGATTAAAGATAGATTACATCAATAAACCAATATAATCAGATTGAGCTTGCTACATTCGTTGTTCATCCAGCACTATCTTCTGATTATATTTGAAGAATTGTTTTTCAGGCATCAGCTGGTCATCTTGGATAATTCTCTTGCTGGTATTTGAGCTACTCTTCTAATATACACTATCTCTTTCCTTTCTGATTTCTGGCTCTTGTGAATTTGGTGTTCGTGATCGGAAAGGTGGTGTGAAAAAGGCGTCGCCAATATCCGTGGCATGTTCAGAATAATTTTCAAGTAAAAACTTGTTGCGCTAATCATTTTTCATAAATTTTTCACTCTCGTTATGTTATAAGATAAGCTGGTTGTGGAAATATGGGAAAAATTTACGTATACAGGAATATGGATTATAGTAACAAAATTTAAATGCACAATGCGAAAGTGGAGCCGCACCAAACCGACAAGAATCGAGCGCAAAAAAATCAATTGGCTTACACAAGCTAGTGAAAAAGATATTGGATATTTGATATTGTTTGCGCGCTTTATGGACGTTGCGTTCCGACTGACAGCTGGTCGTTTGCAGCCTATGCGACTAGTGTCCAAAGCCTTTTATAACAACAACAATACTGTAAATTAATAATGGTTTAGCTTTAACTTTATTCACTTTTGATGGGCAAATTAAGTTGTGATCATTTAGATTTATCTCGTTATGTTAGATCACTTGTTACTTAAGTGTATATAGAAAGAAAAGATAAGTCAATAGTATTTTAGTAAGTGAAAAAAGACTATGAATAGCGTTGACTTAAGACGACTAAAGACTACGATTCTACATATCCATAAATTGTTCATGTTCAGTATTAAGAATGGTAGACCAGTCGACCTGTGTCAACCGATACAGATTGCTTTCCAGTGAATATTCAGCTTCTCCTTAAAAGTTTTCACTGATAGAGGTGATACCACTTGTTTGAGCAAGGCACTTCAGTCACTCACCACTCAATGTGAAAAACGTAATTCAACTCGGTTTATTTGATCGCGGCTTCCGGATCTTCTTGCATTAACCTCGAGGATGATTAGTTCTGGAGGAACAGAAAGATAAAAAATGATATCACTCAGATGTTTACACAAAATACTAATTTTCAAAACAAGATTACGTAGTGTCCTACGGTAAGATGAAAGAAGAAGTTTAGGCTTTTTAAGTGCTGATTGTAGAGAGTTTGGGAAGACCCGTCACTAACCTATTTCCGGGGTGCGATAACATCCTTAGTCAAACATGGTTTAGCTGCTTGGTTACAGTACTCTTGGTGAGGTTGCACACAGATGGAGTAAAATCCTGAAACATCATCGTCAAAAACAGTGGAATGCTCGACGAGTTGATCGTACCTCCAGAAGACCTATAGTAGCTGCTGTTTTGATTTAGGCCTGGGACAGGAACATGTTGAACGATGGTGGTTCTCATCTAGTTTAGCTTATCAGATTGTATTGGTTGTGTATCGATTTGGTACTAAGATATTTTTGATCTATCATATTGTTATTCACTGATTTTTTTTATCATGTCACTTTCTTTTAGAGTGTCAAAATCAGAATTATACTTTTTCATTTCCAAAAACTCTCCTCTACAATCCAATCCAATATAGATTTTAATCAATAGTATGCTATTTCAACTTAGCAAAATTTAAAGTTTAATCTATACACTAACTGATTGTCGAAGATTGATAGATAGTGCATCACTTACAGTAGTTATCCAGTTGTTTGTTATTTTATTTTCAGAATTAAACTTTAAGGATGACTGAATGCAACATGTTTGTTGATGCAATGAATAAATTAACATTTAAAGTAAGTTCTGCAAAATTTTTTAAAATGATACAATGTTAAATTTATAAAAGTCTATTTCACACTAAGTATTATTTATCGCTTACAGGAAAGAAATGAAGAAAGTTTTGAAGATTATACAGCTGTAACAGATTGGGAAGTGTAAGTTGCCATTATTTAATATCATCGGTCAGTCAGTTACAATGTAAAACTTCGTACTTACGTACATCAGTTCAGGTTGCTATATCACATTAGCACACACAGATCCAATTGTCGATTCAAATCCCATAGTGGTAGAGGTAGTAGAATTATTAGCGGAAATTGACAAGATTAGGTTTCGAAGATATCATTCGAGAAGTATAACCCAGTGAGATGAATGTAGAAAGAGAAAGATAGAGGTGATGAGGAATGGATGCACCTGCGTCGTTGCAAACGCTTTTGAGCTATGTTCATACATCATTCTTCCCATCATGATCCTTGAGTACATGTGCACCGTTGGTTTGAAATGGGGCTTATCCAATTCCCCCAGATGGATCCTCCGTACCCATAAAGCCGGCCCAAGCCCCTGCCGGACACTTACTCTACGTCCTCTCAATCTGGTAAACAACTCCCGTGTCAAGAAAAGACAGTGAGTATGACATCCCTGTACTGTGGGAGAGTACAAACCAGATTCTAGCGTAGGGAATCAAGAAAAGGCGCTGGAAGTGGATAGGACACACATTTTGGAAAGCACCCAACTGAGTAACAAGATAAGCCCTCACTTGGATCCCTCAGGGTCAAAGAAGAAGATGAAAGCAAAGAAACCTACTTTACCGAGAGATGAAAGACAGTTATGGGAACAATGATTGTGATTAACTCCGAGCTACATTTTTTGCGATGTTCACTGATGTTGTTATTTTACTTTCCGATAAATAAATTAGATGATTTGAATTTCGTATATGTTATCTTTTAATTAAACAAAAATGTGAATATCTGTTACATGTCTATTGAGTTAGTATCATTCTCTCTCTGTCGTCTGTTTTTTTAAACAAAAATATTTCAGTTTCACGCAAGAACTTGAAAATCTTTTAATCAATTGGATAATAAAACAAGACACTAAAGTTGTAAGTTTTATGAATAAAAAATTTCAAAGTATTTTTAATACAAGAGGTTCTAGCTAAGCCGAATACAGTAGAGCCATAACAACGTAATAAATTAGGTTGTAATACAAGCCGTTTTATTAATCAACCAGCAAGCCCTTGATCAGTTTCTCAATTAAGTGCGAATAGGAGATAGGACTCTATCGCAGCTAAAAAATTACATTACTTTTTTTGGTTAGCGTTTTTTTGGCAAGTTAGATTTCGACGGAATGGGGCCGCCAACCCTCCTCCTTTACCCGGGCTTGGGACCGGCAGTAGCCCCGAAGGTTCTACTGGTGGAGTTAAAAAATTACATAAAAAGCCTAATAGAGGGAATAGTGAAGTAAACAGTAGTATATTTTACCAGTTATGTCTCCGCCGACTCCCCCTGAATGTACAGCAGATCCTTACTGTTGGAGATAACAAATGAAAATAGGTAACATGAAGTTATTTAATAGGTTATATAACAGAACGAAACAGGTGAGTCCGCAAATGCGTAACATCATGGTAGACGATAGAATCGATAAGTTTGTAATGATTATTTCAAGTCTGTTTATTTACGTTTGGCCTACTACTACTCCCAATGTTAAACTATTGATAAAACTTATGTTATCGTACTTTCTTATTCATACTACTATCAGTACACCTGTCTTCCTGATAGGGAGTGAATCAGTTGAGCGTGTTGACCGCTTCATTTGTTTCGGGAGTCTCACCAGTGACAATCGCTTGGTGACTGACGAAATCTCAGCACGAATACAGAAAGCTCGATTGGTTTTTGCCAACCTGCGTCACTTATGACGAAAGCGAGATATCCGTTTGCTAACTAAAGGACGAGTGTACTACGCAGTAGTTCGCTCCGTCCTACTTTATGGCTGTGAAACATGGCCAGTCAGGTTAGAAGATATTCTATGAAATTCTAACCTTCTGAATCGCTCATCACCTCTATCTTTCTCTTTCTAAATTTACCTCACTGAATTATACTTCTTGAATAACATCTTCGAACACTAATCTCTCCGATTACTTCTAATAATTTTTCTACCTCTACTACTATGGGATTTGAAGTGACGATTGCATCTCTGTGCTAATGTGGTATGGCAACTTGAATTGATGTACGTACGAAGTTCTGTGCTGTTGACTAACTGGCGGACACCTGTTTTCCTACTATCAACTTGTACTTTTACCTATTATGTTTAGTGGCGTAATCTATTTCATTGTAATTATTGACTCAAATTGCCTTGATTGGTGGTTTAATATTTTCATATTAGAGTAAAGCCTGATGATGGCGTTCTAATTGAAACCAATATTGTTCGCTTATATGTGTTGCTCTTATATAATAATTTACTGTATAATATACTTTATTAGTGTTTTATATATATCCAGTTAGTTAGGGGGCGGCCAAACCAAAAACGTGGTACAAATCCATGAAGTCACTGACAAGTGAACTGAACCAGGTTATACTACTACATGTAGACTACCACCTGGTTTGGATCAGCGATACAATAGTGACCAGTGTAGTATTTAAAGACTTTGAATGACATGGCTCAGAATTGTTTGCAATAACGACGCAAGTGCATGCATCCATTCCTTGTTTTCGCTGAAATTCTATTCTTCTGAGTACCTCATGACTGCTTTTCTTCTTCTGAATTTATTTCACCAATCATTATCTTTGATCGCTAATCTTCTCCATTTTTAGCATTAGAAGAAAATTACAAAATAATTTATCATTATCAGTATAGAGTTATAGAGATCGTTGAGTTCCATTGAAATCATGAATTGACCGATGTTAGAATACTATTGGGAATCTGAAAGTATGGGATCGCCGTTTCGTCCCACTATGGAAATTGCCAGCAGTGCATATCCACGACACTCGATAGGATAGTTGAACTCAGGAACTTTAGTTTCTCACATGGACGGTTAACCTGTTGAACACTGACAAACAATCCTTGATGTAGCTTTATTGATTCAACAAATGATGTGATTCCGTACATACGGGCATATGTAACACATGTCACCTTTGCTCAACCATTGACTGCCTCGTCAAGCTATGTTTTGCAGTGTAGGAGTAGGTTGGAAGAAAGAGAGGGGTGGCCAAAATGAAACATGACACAAATCCATGAAGTCACTGACAAGTGGACTGAGTCATGTTGGTAGATGTAGGCTACCAGGTTGGGGTGCGCGAGATGATAATAATCGATGGTAAGAGACCCTGAGTGACATGGCTCAAAGCCGTTTGCATTGGCGCAGGTGCATACATCCTTTGTGTTCTCTCAAATTCTAACCTTCTGAATTCCTCATCATCTCTATCTTTCTCCTTCTAAATTTATCTTACTGAATTATACTTTTCGAATCATATCTTCACTCTTTACTGCTCATACTTCTACTATCACTATCACTATTGGATTTGAACTGACAGTTGCGTCTCTGTGATGAATTTATTTCACCAATCATTATCTTCGATCGCTAATCTTCTCCATTACCACTAATACTTATACTACCTTTACTAATCTAGGATTTAATTTGACAACTCCATCTGTGTGTGCTAATATAGCGTGACAGTCAATGAGTTACAACGTGGAACTTTGTACGTACGTACATCAGTTCAAATTGATAATTTGTGAACAATAATAATAATAATAATAACAATAATAATAAATGTCATTGATTATTTTTTTTTTCCAAAAAAATTAAAGTCTACAGTTTGTGAACATGTTCAATGTTGTGGAGATTTAAAATTTGGTGAAAGAATTTTCAAATTGCTGTATTGCAAATGTTCCAATGAATTTGACAAATTGAAGAATCATTCATCAATGACATCGGAAAATAATAGTAGTAGTAGTAGGCAATTTTTCAAGTTCATTATTTGTTTTTTCCTCTTGTTTAGTTTCAAAAAATTCTTCTATACGTGTAATTAATCCTATGCCAATTTTTGATGGACATTTTAATAGTGTACCGTTAGTTTGGTAAGTTTTTAATTTTGATTTTTTTTTATTGTGCAAGTGTCGATTTAGATAGACAGGCAGACAGACAGACGGACAGACAGACAACACTGAACTTCGTACGTTTATGTACATCAGTTCATCAGGTTGTCTGACCATATTAGCACACAGGGACGCAACTGTCAGTGCTCAAATCCAAGAGTGGTGGCGACAGTGGAGAAGTATTAGCAGTAATGGAGAAGATTAGGGTATAATTCAGTGAGATAAAGTTGGAAAGAGAAGAATAGAGATGATGAGGAATTCAGGAGGTTAGAATTGAAAAGCACACAAAGAGTGGATGCGCTTGCGCCATTGCAGACGGTTTTGAGCCATGTCGTTCAAGCTCTCTAACCATTGGTGACTATCGTCTCACGGACCCCAACCAGATAGCCTACATCTACCAACATGACTGAGTCCACTTGTCAGCACACAGATGCAATAGTCACTTCAAATCTCATAAGGGTAGAGATAGTGGGAGTATTACCGTTAATGGATATTAGGGTTCGAAGATATGATTCGAGAAGTTTCATTCAGTGAGATAAATTTAAAAAGAGAAAGATAAAGTTGGTGAGGAATTCAGAACATCAAAGTTAGAGAGGACACAAAGAGTGGATGCACCTGCGCCACTGTAAACAATTTTGAGCCATGTCGTTCAAGGTCTCTAACGATTGGTTACTTTCGTCTTGCGGACCCCAACCAGGTAGTCTACATCTACCAACATGACTCAGTTCAGTTGTCAGTAACTTCATGGATTTGTGCCATGTTTTGGTTTGGCCACCCCTAGCTTTCTTACAACTTACTCCTACACCACAAAACATAGCTCTTCGAGGTAGTCAGTGGTTAGGCATACGTAACACATGTCCTAACCACCTCAACTGATGAAGTTTTAATGCTTCATCTATTGATTTGCCATCCCTACCTAGAACTCGTTTCCTAACGACAGCATTGCTTATACGGTTGTCCCATGATACACGAGCAATGCTTCGGAGACACTTATGATCGAAGACTAGTAACCTACGAATGTCCTCTACTCTCACCGGCCATGTGTGTATTGATATACCTGTTTACTTATTTACTTACTGAGTAAGACGTTTTATTAGCCACACACGGTGAAAAGAAACGTCTCCTTATTATCTTGTTCTGTTTTATTGTGTAATAACTCTTTGTTTTATTGGAACCATGAATCGGTCATTGTTATGCCACATCATTAGAAACCTCGACGCCGTTTCGTCCTAGTTCGGAACCATTCATCAGCTAATGTTATCATTGCATTTGCATGAAACTTGTTAATGCGTACATTTATTCTGATGGCACCTCTACAACATTTTTCAATATCATGTGACAAAGCAATTCACCAATCAGAATACGATTAGGCGCTAAATGACCTTCAGTGAGCAGCTGAGTTTCTGTTGGTCCATAGCTCTGTGTCTGCTTGCTCCGTTGAGTTCAGAAGTATGTAATCAACCTCCCTTTGTACGTATCATTTATATTCAATCATATCCAACTTCGTCCAACCAAAATAAATCGGGAAAAAAATCCAGAAAGTAGCTGTGAATAGGGGTTACTTACTTAACACCTGCTACACCCAATAGAACCAGAGCCGCCTATCAGCGTTCTCCAATCTACTCTGTCTTGGTCTTACTTTCCCAGGTCTGTCCGATCGCTGTTCATTTTTTTCATGTCTGCTTTCAGCTATCGGTGTAATGTGTTCCTCGGTCTTTCTCTTTTCCTTGGTCTTAAGGATTCCACATTGGGGCTAGTCTTGTGACCCAGTCGTACCCACTTTGAACGTTTTTTCTAATTTTTTCGTGATTGTATCTTTTCATTTCTGAATTAACTCGACTGATTATCACGGTCTTCCATAATGTACGAATATTCTATATACCTATATTAATGGTTGCTCTGGTTGTCAGAAAGGGTTTCGGCCTAGTGACTTCCGATCAAACTGGGCTTTCATCATGAGACTTTATCATTTGTCTAAATGAAGACCTTTCAACTGCGAGGGCAGGGTTCAAATGGCTTAAATTATTTGTTCTGGTTAACAGTATAAATAGGAGTCTGATTTAATGAGTTGTTGTTGTTCACACAAATCAATGATGATTATGTCTATATGCATGTTAGTCAATGCGTAGAACATAAAAAAGCAAAACTTCAGTTTGTTTATTACGCAACACCAATCTTTCTTTTCGTTCTCGCGTCTTTTTTTAATTTCTTACTTCGTGATAAGTAGAGTTCAAACCTATCGGGTGTAGCTAGTAAATACCAAGGACAAATGTGTGAGGTTGCGCGAAATCCTTAGATTGATCAGCCTTCGACATTTACGCGATTGGGTGCCGGCCGTATGATTGATCCAAAGGTTAGGTGTTCGCGACCAAGACTGAAGGTCCTGGGCTCGAGTCCTGCGATGCTAAATACATCCGTTTTTCCAGCTTTATCTACTTTGATAGGTTTATCGTTTTTGTCGATAACTTTAAATGGACCATCGTAGGTCGATTGTAAGGGACGTCGCACCAAATCCGTCCTGATAAATACATGGGTGATATCGCTTAGTTGCTTCGGAATATATACTCAATGTTGATTCTCCTGCGGAAGCGTTATTCTTAGATCGCTCATGTGTCCTAATAGACGACGTACATAGTTAGTTATATCAGTTGGAACAATCTTACCTGAGATGAACAACTCTCCTGGTAGACGTAGGGTAGTTCCGTAAACTAACTCTGCACGGCAACATCCTATGTCGCTCTTTTAACAGTCGATCTTAAACTCAACATGACTAATGGAAGCTTGTTGGCCCAGTCATTGTTGTTAATAACAGCTGTAAGAGATGCTTTCAGTTGTCGATGTAATCTCTCTACCATACCATTCGCAATCGGGTGGTAGGAGGTTGTGCGTATACGTTTAATGCCGAGGAGCTCTGTGAGTTGTTGAAAGAGGCGACTTTCGAATTGGGCTCGTCTATCGGTTGTGATATTAGCAGGCACTCCATAATATGAGATCCAATGTTCGACCAAGGTTTTAGCTATGGTCTCTGCTGAAATATCTTTTATGGGCACCGCTACAGGCCATCGCGTGAATCTGTCGATGCAAGTAAAAATATAACTGAAGCCATTCGAAATTGGCAGTGGTCCCACAATGTCCATATGTATGTGCTCGAATCGGCTGTCTGGGTGACGGAAAGGACCTACTGCGGAACGTGTGTGACAATAAACTTTAACTTTCTGGCATTTAATACATACCTGCGTCCAGTTGCGAACATCTCGGTTCATACTTGGCCATACGAAACGCTCGCTGATCAGGTTGATCGTGGCCCTAATTCCTGGATGTGATATGTTATGCATAGTTTCAAAAACGTTTCGTCGTAGTTGCTTCGGTATGAATGGTCGGTGTCGGCCTGTAGAGATATCACAGATTATACTTACTTTGCCGAATCGAGTTTCTTTGAATACCAAGGAAGTTGTAGTAGATGATCTTAGTCTATTTAGCTCTACGTCCATATTTTGCAATGCCGCAAGTTTATGATAATCAATGTCGGGTTGGATGAGAGCATTAATCATCGTTCTTGACGATGCATCTGCTACTTCGTTATCATGACCTTTAATATATTGTATGCTAGACGTAAATTGGGAAATAAACTCCAATTGTCGAATTTCCCTCGGTGAATAGTTGTCGTGCTTGGCGTTTAACGCTTTCGTGAGGGGTTTATTGATCTGTGTACACTGTGAAAATGGTGCCCTCAAGCATATGTCGAAAGTGCTTTATTGCCAAATAAATTGCTAGCAGTTCTCTTCCGAACGTACTGTATCTTGTTTGCGTGGGACTTAATCTCTTTGAAATGAATGAAATTGGTTCCCATCTGTCGTTTACAAACTGCTGTAACACGGCTCCAACGGCGATGTTCGACGCGTCAGTCATGACGGCTAATGGAGCTTCGTTTTTCCGTCGTACCAATACTGTCTTTTCACTTAGCACGCGTTTAGCGTTCTCGAATGCCTGTATGGCGTCTGCTGACAAGTGAAATGTTCGGGCACGCCCTCGCAAAGCGTCTGTTAACGGTTGCAAAATTGCCGCGCAGTTCGGAATGAATCGTCTATAGTAGTTAATTAGTCCGAGAAGTCGTCGTAATTTCTTCTTTGTTTCGGGCAACGGATAATCACGAATAGCTGCAACTTCTGATGGAACAGGTGTGATACCTTGAGAATTTATTAGGTGTCCTAGAAATTGCAGTGATTTTCCAAATTCAAATTTCTCAACGTTGATTGCGATACCGTGTTCTTGTAGTTCATTGAACAACTGTCTTAGTTGTTGTAGATGTTGTTCCGGTGTAGCACTAGCTACAAGTATGTCGTCGATGTATACATATACGCCTGAGAAACCTCTAACAACCTGGTCGATGAATCTCTGGAAGGTTTCAGCTGCATTCGTTAATCCGAATGGCATTCGCAAAAATTCGAATAATCCGAATGGAGTGATTACGGCCGTTTTCGGTATATCCTCATGCGCCACGGGGATATGTAATAATAAGCTTTAACAAGGTCAATTTTCGAAAAGATAATCGCACCTTCCATGTTGTTAGTCATGTCGTGGATATGTGGCACTGGATATCTATCTGCCACAGTTTGTTTATTGAGTGCCCTGTAATCTACGCATAGTCTGTACTCTCCGGTCTTTTTTAGTACCATGTGTAACGGAGATGTCCATGGGCTACTAGATGGCCGTATTATACCAAGTTTCATCATTTTGTCGAATTCTTGTTTCGCAATGTTTAACATTTTCGGGTCCAGGCGTCGTGGTCTCGCGTTACAAGGTGCGCCTTTCGTTACAATATAATGTTGCACTGTATGTTTGAGATCAGTGTTATCGTAAGACACTTTTCTCAAGTCAGCGTATTCGTTTAGGAGCGATTTATATGGATCGTTTTTGTCTCTTGATACTACTAAATTCATAGATTCGTGGTCAGTGATCATTCCTCTTATCACTACCGTACGGTCTCTGTTCAAGAGCTGGTTTCGTCGAGAATCTACTAGTAAGTCGAAATTCTTTAAGAAATCAAGAGCGATTATAGGTATGGATACATCTGCGATAACAAACTCCCTTCGAAGCGAAATTTTTCGACCGAAATTTAAAGTTATTTTTCGCTTTCCGTATGTTTTCACTTCAAACCCGACATGAAAACATACGGAAAGCGAAAAATAACTTTAAATTTCGGTCGAAAAATTTCGCTTCGAAGGAGTTTG